TTTTTTTTTTTTTTTTTTTTTAAGGGTTGGAAGGGGTTAACATTGCAAGATGAAATGACTCAGATTTTTAAACCATGTCAAACTCTTTTTGTCTTTGAAAGGTGCTATTTCACTGACTACTGAAGCAGCCTTTGGAATTGTGATTTCTGTACATATGAATCACCTTTGTGACGTTTTCTATAAATGAGCATTATTAAAAAAAGGAAAAAAAGAGAAAAAAATGCAAACAAAAACAAATAAAAAGAATAAATAGGGAGATGACAATTTCCGCAGATCACTTTTCTAGACAGTGGCTTTAAAACAGGAGAAAAAAAAAGTCATTTTCTTTTCCCTTCCCCCTGTGACAGAAATGTGGCAAATGGCAATGGGGAGAGTGAATAAGAGCAGGCATCCTGGGAAGCTTTTCTTTTTCTTTTTCTTTTCTTTTGTTTCAAGAACCGTTTTGTTTTGTCATTTTGGAGGAGTGGGGAAAGAAATGTCTCATAGCTGGAATGTTTTGGCAGCAGATTGCTACGGATAGATGATGGATGCGTGCATTTCTGCCCTGTCCTTGGGAAGGGGCAACCAGCAGGGCGTTGGTTTTTTACCCCCAACCTGCTTGTGTTGCGTCTCTCTCATTTCCTTTCCCCACCGTTGCAGGCACTGTTACTCTCCAGCCTCCAATGTGCATGGCTTGTGGCTCATGCCTTCACCGAGCTGGCAGGTGTTGTGTTGCTCCATGTGTTTGGTCCTTTAGGAACCCCCACCTTGCCCCAGCACAGATTGGGCTGCATGGGGATTGTTCTGGCTCCTGGGGGGGGGGTCTGGGTAACCACAGACCCCCATAGGAGCTATGTTTTCTTTTCTTCCTCCTCTGTTTTTGAGCTGTGCTGCTTACCAGTGCGAGAATCATTCCTTGACAGAAGCCTTGGAGGTGTGCGTGTGTGTGTATATATATTTTTTTCCCATTAAAGAAGAAATTCCCCAAACACCTTTGATTGTTGTGACATCTTTTACCTAGATAAGAAGTGAGCCTTTGAGATGCTCCTGCGGAAGCGGATTGAGAGCCTGGCACTTGTTTGGGCTCAGTTTGTTAAGTATTAAATGAGTATTAAAGATGGAAACCTTAAAATATTGAGTGGGCAGCACCCACTCAAGTGCTTTGATCACCTCCTGTAGAGCTGTACAGTATTTGTGTAAAGGACCTGATGCAAAGCCCCTGAAGCCGGTGGAGTAGCTCCCATTGACTTCCGCAGGGTTTGGATCTGGTTTGAAGTAAAGAAAAAATGTAGGCTTAGTCTGGAACGGCAAGGAAGGTGAGGCTTCTGGAGCATGGGGGCCGGGGGGGGGCACGGTACTTGTATGGCACCATTCAAACCCACCCACCTGAAGGCTGTGGCTTGTCAGGAGGCACTGCAAGACGGCAGAGCTATCCAGGAGATGTGTCCTCAGCAACCTTTTCCACTCGAGTCCCAAAAAATAATGCACGGGGGAAGAACCACGTTTTCTTGTTGAGCCCCTTTACAACGTGGACATTGTGTTTTGGGGTTTTTTTTTGTGATTTGTAAAGTGGCTGTATATTCAGAAAGATATTTAGGAGAGGAAGGGAAGATGTGGGAATAATTTGGGACTAACAGATGGTAGATTAGCATTTTAAGAGACTAGATGGATGTTCAAATGTCTCTGAGAGAATGGAAAAAGTTCCCTCCTCCTCTGGGGGAATTGGAATCCCTTTCACTTCTTGCTGCCTTGAGAACCCTTCTTTTTTTCTTTTCTTTGATGTATTTTATTTCAAAAAAAAGAAAGAAATAAAGAAAAGATGGTTTGAAATCCTTTAGGTTGTTTTAAGTTTTCAATTTCTCCAAATAAATCTTATCTCAAAAAAAAACAAAAAAGGAAATGGCCTGAGGTTGATTTTATAAAATATACTTAAAAAAAAAAAAAAAAAAAAGAAAAAAAAATAAGATGGCGAGTA